ATAATGAATGGGTGTGTCCTGTCTGTCAAGTGCTAATAGCTGCTCTGGGGGTTATAGGCTAACCCTCTCTAGAATATACAGTGAAATTTTGGGGACTTTTTAAATAGACCTATATATTTTATTCACACTTACAGCCTCAGTACAGTGATGATATATATTTTATTTTCAGTACTTTTTTTTATCTTAAGTACTGATGCTAAACACTGTAGTGTAATGCACATTCTATTTTTTATTTTTAATGTACATTTTCATTTTTTTTAAATTACCTTATATTTATAAACTTCTATTTCATACTTCTATTTTTACTTCTTACAATTCTCTATTCTTTACATTGGAGCGACTGAAACAAGTCACAATTCCTCCTCAGGGATTAATAAAGAATTTTTGATTCTGATCACTCATTTTTCTTTTTTCTTTAATATATTTTTTACACATTTACATTTCAAATTTCAAATTATCGTGTTAAACATTTCACAGAAGGTAGATTTTAAGTTTTTATTTCATACTTGCTGTTATTAAATCTCTGTCTTTCAAAAAAAAAGGTGATAACATAAAATGTGAATTAAAACAATCCATAATTCGCAAAAATAATAATAATATGAATAACATATGGCGCAATGTTGTCTGAATTTTGGTGTCGTCACTGTCTTCTGATGGTTAATCCTGAGTAACTGAATAAAAAGCATTTTACAAAACAGAAATCAACCTCTGACAGGTCTGAACCTGACGCTGCTATTATGGTTTTTTGTCTACAGGTGGCGCACATTGCTCAGGTAGAAAGTACCTCTTGTTTTTTCCCTAATTTGTCCTTTCAGGAGAAGAATATCAGCTACTGCAAAACTGCCATTTCACACACCTCAACCATGCCTATAACCGCGACTTTTAGCATTTATTGCTGCTATAACTCAAAAACGCACGTAACAATGTAACAGGCGGAGAATGTCGGAGGCACACCTGGCAGGAACAACCTGACAGTCAAACACCAGGGTATATTACCCACAAATACACTGACACGCCATTGGTCAAATTCCTGATTGCGTGGATGAACACACGGAAGTCAAACGTCTCTGTCATAGACTGGATGTGATGTGAGCAAAATGATCGGAGATCTGTTGATATTCGGGTAATTTGTCCAGTTTCTGCCATATTTCACACACGGATACGAATTTATTTAACCCACATGTTCTTCATGTGTGTTGTTGTGCACTGTGTTGCCGATTAGATGGTGGTTTATGAAGCTAACTAACAAGCTAGCTCGGCGCTAATGCCAGCTCACCAGCTAACGTCAGCTGGGCAGGTAGATATCACTGTCACCTGTCAACAAACAGTTTGTCTCTCTGTGCTCTGTAGGACCTTACTGGTGAATGCAGGGGCTGTGCTGAACTTCAAGCTGTGAGTATTAAATTGTTTAACACCTCACACCAGAGCTACAAAACAAAATAAACATGAAGTTTGTTAACAAAATGAGCAAATCAGTCAGTTGGAGATTAACTGTGGATGTTTTGCAGCAAAAGGAAGGAGTCCCAAGGGTTTGGAGATGAGTCCAGATCACCCACAACAGGTGTGCATATGTGTTAAAGAGAGGCTGGGGGAAAAAACATGGAAAAGTGTGTGTAACATGCTCTGTTAAAATAATCTGTCTTTCAGGTGACAACATCAGAGAGTTTCTGCTCAGCCTGCGATACTTTCGGATCTTCATCGCTCTATGGAACATCTTCATGATGTTCTGCATGATCCTGTGAGTAATCAACTTAAATGGACGCTGGTCATGTATCTGTAGACATGCTGGACATGATGGCGAACAGGCTGTGAGGAAATACTTGAAGGTCCAGTATGTAGGATTTATGAGCATCCTTTGGCCAAAATGGTATACAGTATTCATATTTTTTTTATATTAGTTTATAATTAATTGAGTAGATGTGCTTTCGTTACCTTAAAACGAGCGGTTTAAATCTACACATGGAGCAGGTCCTCTTCCACAGAGTCTGCCATGTTGTTATACAGTAGCCCAGAAGGGACACACCAATCACTGGCTCTAGACAGGGCCATTCCTGTTTCTGTATTTTCCAGTCACCTGCTGTAGCTCTCCTACAAGCTTGACACATGGGAGAAGTTTTAGTTTTGTAACGTCACCGCTCGATACCATTCCTACACACTGGACCTTTGAATTGTAAAAATAGGGTACTTTAAACTAAGGATAAATCTGACAATGTTTTTATCCCCTTAACTCTCAACAAATCCCATTAGAAGACCAAAATCAACAAGTATTCATCCAAACATGTACTACTAAAGAAAGATAAATCTTTTTGCCACAGAGCTCCATTGTTGCACATGACACAACTGAACACATCCATGTCAGAAGCCACACTGTCGCTTTGACTAGCTGACATGTTTATTCATTACGAAGACGACTGTGTTTTATTTTGTGTTATTCCCTCTACCCTGTCTTGCTGTTTTGAATACTTACTACTGGAGCACCAAATGTTTATTAATCCACATCTGAAAATAGTCCCCAACATATACACAGTTTAGTCCTGTTTGAGTAACGGTGCCTAGGTGTTTTAGGAAATTACTGAGCCGTTTTACAGAGGATTCTATGTATTTGTGACCTGTCTCTTGGCGCCTTCAGTGAGAACCAGTGGGCTTGAGGAGCCATAGACAGGGTAGGGAATTAGAAAATACTCAGAGATGGACCAATGCTGTGTTGATTCTTATGGGGTTTGTTGGCACTATAAAACAAAATGCAAACATTAGCCTCATCCTTCAAAGAATAATCTTTGTGTTGACTTTATGTCACAGTTGAGTGGAAACATTTTCCATGGTACAGAAATGAACATTGTGTTAACAGTTTCATTTGACACAATTTCAGACCACAGCAGCTCGTTAAATTATCCTTGGTTAGAGTAGCCACAATCCAAATGCAAACAAAAAGGGACCTACAATAAACAACAACTAAGTTAAAAAGAGTCTTAGAAATGGGCTGTGAAGTTGTTGCTTTTCTAACTGGCTGAATTTCTTCAATCCTCACAGATTGTTTGGGTCATGATCAACATTTGTGGCGACTGGACTTCCACCAGGATGCTGATTTCCCAGGGTAGATGCTACAAACTTCTCCTTTATGGGAGCTTGCTGTTCCTTTGGCCCTTTTAACTGTAATTATGCTCCATTTTCTTTACTCCAAATCATAAATCTGCTTCTGGCTGTACAGGAATTTATGAATCGCTGTATTTATTTTGTCTCACAGAGGTTGTTACATTTTTCCCCCTTTTTGTTTAAGCTGTAAATGCATCAGCACCTTTGCCTGTGCAGGATATGTGTTGTCTTGTACCCCTGTGCTTCATTATAGAACATGATTTTTTTTCTCCAGCATGTCGGTTTTCTTATTAAAGAAACACTGTTTTGTAAATGGACAGCCTTCACCAATAGGATAGAAAATGTTTTTCTGGGACGTGTTACCTGTGATTCATCATTTATGGTTCCTGCAGTGATCAAAGCTGGTGGATGACCTTTTCCCCAACCAAAATCATCTTGCTGAGATGTCCTTTTATCACTTTTACTTGCACAGTCATCATAGCCCAGCTGGAATCAACAGACAAGTCAAAATGATAACTGTCACTTAGTGAACTGTACGTCCCCACTGTACAAACATCGCAAAATTGTATGTCACTTCAGAATATTTTAATGCAGATTTAAAAAGGAAAATGCCATTTTCCTTTATTCTGGGGTACATGTGCTATAAGAAAATCTCTGTATGTCCTATAATGTAAATGTGTCCTTATTCTTAACAATAAATATACACCGTTTTCTTATGCAGTGTCTTTTAACTGAATGGTTGTGACTGCCTGTTGGCACGAGGGATGCACGATCCAATACTCAACTCATTCAGTGAAATGCATATTCGCCATGAGATGACTGATACACATTAAATACAGTTTTTTGTTTTGTTTTGTTTTGTTTTGTTTTCAGTCATGAGACAATGGCTTTATACTTCCCTGTAATAATACTTCCTACAGCTGTACTACATCCGTACTGTATACTCATTGTAGATTGACACTGTACACTCATTCCACTATAACAGTTTTTTGCAGTTACTACATGAGCAATTAACACACTTTATATATTTTTAATTTTTAAAATTAAAACAGTTTTCAATCAAACTCCTACCTAAGAATGCCACTGATTGTCTCTTGATAGGAAAGGGTCCTGGGTCCTGGGTCCTGCCAGGTGGAAAATTAAGCTTCTCTGCTTGAAGTCAGAGGAGATTTATTTCTCCTTTAGCTCTTCAACAGTGCCTTTTATTGCTGTGTATGATACAAACACTGTACAGTCTATCTTATTGCTTCCAGCTTCATTGCAACAAGGCAACAGTGCCATCAAGTGACAATGTAAGAAAAGAGCAATAGATAGGAAAATGCTTGACAGAGGGCGGATTACCTACATGACAAGAAACAGAACAAAGAAAAATAGATTTAGTAATGTATTTGAAAACGTGTAAAGCAGGGTAATCCTGGGTAAAATAAATAAATAAATATTACAAATAATGTTTTGACAGATTTTCTTGTTTAATGAGGGGAAGACAGTGGCAATATAGTGTTAAGCTGCATTCATAATTGACATTTTTATTTTAGTTTGTATTTTTGCATTTGTAGATGAGGAATTTTGCGATAATACGAGTTGCATAAAAGGGGGAAGTATGTTTATAGATATATGAATAGCAACCAAATATCTTTAAAGCAAAGGTTTTGCATTTTTTTTTAACTGCACAATATTTTCTTTATTAATTAAGTATTTTCAAAGCCTCTCTGCACGTCCAAAATAAAGGTGTGAAATATATGGATCCATTTAAAATAAAATATGAAGAGCCTGTGCTGTGCAGACATCACTGTCTGATTTAAGGCCACTTCTTCCAGAGAACAATATCGCAGATATGAACAATTGGTTACGTAAAATTTTCCCATCATGCCTTGCGGGAGCGCTTCACAAAAAGCCCGATGACAAGACCGAGGAGGAGGAGGCTACCAGCCGAGGGGGGTAGCCGATTCCCGTAGAGGATTTTCTGCTCTCGTCGTCCGAATTATTGAGTCGTGGCGGCGGCGGATGAAAACAAAAATAAAAGCATCATAAAACATGGTGCTCAGTCCGACAGAAGAGCTTCCGTCGGGCCTGTGAGTGTCGGCCGGTTCCCAACCGCCGCCTCTTCGGGGGATTCTGCTGTCTGAGTCCGTCCTGACCCGCGACACCGCCAGGCGATGACAGCGGCTACAGCCACTCCGCAGGTGATGAGAGACCGGCTGCTACAGGCCATCGACGGTCAGAGCAATGTGAGTATCACCGCTAGTTTCCAGAGGACGAGCTGGAGGCAGAAAGGCAGACAACAAGGCCAAACCGATTCCGGGTTGACAAAGTGGGGGCAGTCAATGTATGGCGAGTTATTATTTACTTGCTAATTAGCTGGCTAACATCTCTACTTAGCTAAAGTAACTAATGCCAGGCATTCCTGCGCCTAGCTAACTGACTTCAGCTGGCTAATGTTCATGTAGCCAAGTTAGCTTATTTGTGAACACTAAAATGCCTCTGGACTGGAGACTTGCTAAACTGAGCTATCAGGTAGGAAGTGTAAATCTGGAGGTAAGTGTCCTTTAGTGGCAGAGATGGTGATTAATGAGGGTTTCAGTAAGATCAAGGCTTCACATAGATTTAATTATCACCTCTGTGCTTACCTTTATAAAGCTGATGAGATTACAGTGCTTTTCTGGCAAGATCCATGGTACAGACAGTCTGGACTGCATCTGATAAAAGTTTAACAAATTTTGGCAGAATGCAGGTATTGCCAGTCACTAAAAAGTACTTAAAAACACCATTAAAATCTCATAAGCTTAGCTACAGCTGTTATTTGCTAACTTGGAGAAATGTAAGTATAACTTTTGCAGTATAATGTGTACTGGACCACTGTGTTCAAAGATTTAAGCACATAACTTAATGAGCTGATGTGTTTCCTTCTAGATATCCTTTGTTTAATTTGTATTTCATGCATTGATGAAAAAATTCTAATAACAAAGTCCAGTATTGTCATAAAGCAGTCCCCATTGATTTGCAACACTGCGTGCATTGGTCCTTCCCCACCAGATGTATTAAAGTGGTTGCTACCACAGTCGAATCTCTAATGGAGGACAAATCTACATCATGTTGTCATGGTATAAATACCACTATATCACCCAACCTTAGCAAGCTAAAGCTTTTGTTTACTGACTTGGAGAAATGTAAGTATGACCTTTTGTGTTACTGGACCACTGTGTTCAAAGATTTAAGCACATAACTTAATGAGCTGATGTGTTTCCTTCTAGATAGTCTTTGTATAATTTAAGTCATACATGCACTCTCAGCTAGTGTTATAGTTGTATGAAATCCTTTATTATGATAGTTATTAAGAACCTCATATAAATGTCCCTTTTTGAGACTAATCCAGCAAATTTAACACCTTTCAAATCAAGGTACTCCATTGCACTGATACAGAAACCCTAATAAAGAAAGTCCAGTATTATCATAAAGCAGTCCCCATTGATTTGCAACATTGCCTGCATTGGTCCTTCCCCACCATAGATATTAAAGGGGTTACTAACACAGTCGAATCTCTCTTGGTGGACAAATCTACATCATGTTGTCATGGTATAAATACCACTACATCACCCAACCTTAGCAAGCTTAAGCTGCTGTTTACTAACTTGGAAAAAATGTAAGTATGACGTTTTGCAGTATAATGTATACTGGACTGCTGTGTTCAACGACTAATCCAGTAAGTTCAACACCTGTCAAATCTAGGCACTCCATGGCATTGATGCAGAAACCCTAATAAAAAAGTCCAGTATTGTCATAAAGCAGTCCCCACTGGTTTGCAACATTGCATGCATTGGTCCTTCCCCACCAGACATATTAAAGTGGTTGCTACCACAGGCGAATCGCTGTTGGTGGACAAATCTACATCATGTTGTCATGGTATAAATACCACTACATCACCCAACCTTAGCAAGGGTGGTGCAGGCCCATATTAAAGTGAACAGGCCGCTATGGATAGTACTTCTATCTCATTTGCAGATCTGAGTTCTTGTAGGGTAGGATAGAAAAGTACATTTGCATGCATTCTCAGTTTGACATATAGAGCCTGAAACCAGTTGGAGTGCGTCATGTCTTGACACACAGGTGCACATTTGAAAGTCTATTCAAATTATGTCCTGGCCTTATAACAGCCATTCTTTCTCTCTAGGGACTGGTGTACATTAGGCCTGTGAGGTTCTGAATTACAAATTGCAACATCTACATACAGCAACTGTACTTTGATTCTGTTGCAATGCTGACAACATCATGATGTGTCAGGATTGTGAGTAATAAACGTATGTGTCTTTCAGCAGATATGCAACATGGTGGTAGTTATGGAGGTGATCTCCTTTTTGGAGAAATATCCTATCACCAAAGAGGCACTGGAGGTGGGTGACATTCAGACCTACATTATGTGCATTTACAATAAAACGCAATTGTAACCAGTAAAATCATAGCTGCTGTTTAACATATATCTTATCTCCTTAAAGGAAACCCGCCTTGGCAAGCTCATCAATGATATCCGGAAGAAAACTAAGAATGAGGACCTTGCAAAAAGGGCCAAGAAGCTCCTGCGGAACTGGCAGAAGCTAATTGAGCCAGGGAAGGGTGAGGTGTTGTCTAAAGGACACACTGGTGCATCATGGTCTTCCATTGGTGGTGCTCACCCTTGTATCTCCGCTCCAGCTGCCACCACACCATCAGGTAAAACAGGTCCAGAGCTGAAGAACAGAAATGACTTCAACAACTGCTTCTCCCCGAAGGTGGAGAAACCGAGCAACAGGAAACGTAAGGGTGACCAGAAGGAAGGACAGCTCTTAACAGCCAAGATATCCAAAACGACTCTTAATGAGAAAATACAAAATTCCAAACAGCTGCCAACCAATGGAATTGGTGGTAGCTCTGAAATTTTTGCAGATAATCATGCACATCAGCCTTTAGACAATGAGATTCCTGAGCCTTTGGACAATGACAGGCTGAATAAAATCCCAGTCAATGCTGTAAAACCTCATCCAAGTGCCCCGGGATACAGCAAGCCTCTTAGCACTTCGTCTTTGCTAAAAGCATCAGTTCTGCAGCAGCAAGCTAGACAGGAGCAAGCTGTCTGTGGGGGGCAGAATCGACCCAGAAGCCCACGCTGTTCCTTGCATAGTCCTCAAACTCCAAAGCAGGAAGCTGGTGTCAAACAAACTACATCACAAGCACAGGGTCTTTCTAGCCCCTCGGTGAGGCCTGGGCCTGTGGACACCTCTGGCCTGGGGCCTTCCACTCAGCCTTTCAATGGTTGTGTTCAGGGTTTGCACACAGACACTTCAGATTTGGATTCTCATAGCAGGCCTCAAAGTACATCTCTTTACAACTCATATGCCTCCTCCCACAGTGATGTGGTCAGTTTGGAAGATGGTGCTGTAAGCAATACAGAGAAAAGGAAACGACAGAAATACAGGCCTAAGGACCATGTGATAAATTTAGATGGACAGACTGTAGAAGACGGCACAAAATCAGTCAGGTTAAAAGACAGGAGACTGACATTTGACCCCGTAACAGGACAGATCAAATCCTCCTTTCAAAAGGAGCCATGCCAGGAGACGGAGGTCAGATTGAGCCACAGACCTGAATCTCAGCGGTCTGAACAGCCGAAGCAGAACCCACCAGTTCCTCCCAGTCCCTTCCAGCAGACAGACTGGAAAGAGCTGTCTAGGAGTGAAATCATCCAGTCGTACCTTAGCCAGCAAAGCAACGTGCTGACGTCTTCAGGCGCTCACACTCCTGGTGCACACTTCTTCATGACAGAGTTCTTGAAAAAAGAGGAACACCGAGGTACAGATGTCAAGACAACTCACGTGTTGGCACCAGAACCCCCATCCAGTGATTTACCAGGGATTAGCAGAGAGGTCATCGATGAAGACCTGAACAGATTACACACACAGCACTGGTCTGGGGTTAACGGCTGCTATGACACAAAGGGTACTTGGTATGACTGGACTGACTGCATCTCCTTAGACCCGCATGGAGACGAGAGTAGGTTGAACATACTGCCGTACGTCTGTCTGGACTGAAACTGACTTTGGGCTTCTGAATTGGAAGTTAAAAGCTGCCTTCACTGTAAAGCAGAGCAACTCTGCACATATGAAGGCACTTTATTTAAGTGTAAGCTGCTGTTTTGCACCGTTGATGAAAGTGGAGTCAATGTGCTGCCTGCTTGGGTGTGTGTGTGGAGCACACGGGGTGTGTAATCAGTGTTTTTATGAATTTTTGAACACAGCATGAAGGAAAGAGGCTATGCATTAACTGAAATTGTTGGTGTTCATTAATTGTACAGATGAGTTCTCAATACCTGCCATTCTTTGTGTGGGAAAGGACACCACATTAAACTGCACAGCAAGGCTACGTTTTATTCGTCTTATGTTATCCACATGCCTTGTGGAATGTGACTTTTATGCATCCACTCACATTTAGTCCACAGTGCAGTATTTTTTCATTTGAAGTTTAGTTTTTAAAAATGTGATTCAGTCAGCTTTCAGTAGACAGAAGTGAGCTACATATATCGAGCAGATATCCAACAGATGCATCTGTCACTAAAGTTTTTGAATCATCTTGAACAAGGCTGTTAAGCTGTTAAATTAACGCCATTTTCAAATAACTATCATCATTACCGTTTGTATTAACAACTTTAAACTGTTGTGAAAAAAACATTTGTCATTGCACCTTTAGAACCGCTGTCCGCTCATTTCTCAACTGTCTCACGCAGGTACTTTTTGCAGAAATAACAACTGACAAATCAGCTTTAAAACATTTGAATATTTTTCTTGTGTTGTGAGGTTTGACTGCTGTTAATAAAGTGACATGAAACTGCCAGATGTGACTGGGCAGTCTGGGGTGAGAGAAGAAAAGGCTCGTGTGGGGGTTGAACAATGCACGCTGATAAAGAAATGTGGCTGTCATGTATGATATTTATTTACATTTACATATTCGTTTAAAGACTTATATACATGCTCAGACCACACTAAATCATTTTTGTTACATTTCTTTATTCAGAATTGGTTCAGCGATGCAACAGTCCAACCTTTCTCCTGCTGATACACCAGCCTACCTTTTATAGGAAAACCCTCCAAAATGACACATTTTGATAATGTGAACTAATTTTATTTTATACTTGCCTTTTCCCTTTACTGTGTATTTAGGCTGTAAAATATGAATTAAAATGGCAGAGCAGATTATGCTTCTAGCTTGCATCTTTGTACTGTCAGGAAGACCTGAGATATAAATTGACATGCTGGATAAAGTACTTAATATCATTCCTTTAGATATTGTTTGCCTTATGGAAACCTGTGTTTTCCCTAAAGATGAAGCCTTAGTGAATGTACAGAAATTAGCCTTTTGTGTTCAGTCGAATGCAGAAGAGAACATATTTGCTACTTTGTCCTTTAAGTGGACATGTTGATATGTGTTAATAAAAAAATGAAGGAACTGTGACTGTCTTCTCTTTAAGTGTTTATCACAGGTTCTTGCCTGTGATCACTCACATTAACTGATAAATTAATGCACTGATTCCCACAGTGCGGGATCTGCGTTGGCTTTGCATGCTCTTCACTTTCAGATGAATTTTGATTAATTTTCTGGATACTCTGAACTTCCTGTTTGTAAGAAATTTTACCTATTTCTGAAGCACTGATTTGATGCAATGTTTCCTTTCCAAATGCAGTTAGATAGATTCCATTTATCAAGTAGCTCAAAAGAAAATTAGTGGCAACTTTTGTATGATACAGCGCTGTGGGTGATGAGATGTCTTCTGTCAAGCATCATGTAAAAACACAGCTCATATAAAACAGTAAGACAATCACTTAAGGTGCATGCAGCTCCCAAACTTCTAATTCATATTTATTTGCAATGTTAATCCACCTCACTGTGGGGGTTTAGGTATTTAAAATACATGCTGTTAAATGGATTTCCTTTTTATGTTTGTAGTTACTTATGTAAGAATGAGAGGAGGAAGTTTAAAGGTTTAGAATTGCCTGTCATAAAAGCTAAATTGGGAGAGGACCACTCTATATTCTTGTGTTAATTTCACACTTTGAGGTTGCAGAACATCCTCTTGTATGAAGAGTTTTCTTTTTACATGGAGAACAAACTGCTGTACAGTGGTTCAACCAGACTGACTGAAAGGGCAGAAAGAGACAAAGACACCTCTGAGCAACAGTTCAATAGAGTATAAGAAATCACCATTCACTGGTAAAAACAACTGGAGGCTTGGCAACAAAATGTGTGCAGAGTTGAATAGGAAGGGCACAATAATTTCTATCCTCCAGAGACCCTGTGTCCTCATATGAGGACATTATATTTTGGGTTTACTGGACCTTATATGTCATTGTGCTAAACTTAGACTCTAGTCCCCATTTGTGGACACTTTTTTGAAACAAGATGGCAGCCATCTCTGCCAAGTCAGTCTGCAGCTGATCCTGACACATAAGTGAACAAGGTACAAACCTGATCACATTTTATGGTTGAAACTTGTTTATGATTAATAACGCTTGTAGTTTGATATGACAACATATTTGACCAGTTTGAGCAACAATAACATGCTAAGATGCTGTTAATTAGAAAGTACTCGTTTGCAGACATTGGGAATTTTTCATTAGCTCTTTGAAGGACATAATAACTTTGTTGTTGTCTCATTTGAGGATATTGGGACTTTATTATCACTGACAATGTTTAGTTATTTTATTCTTATCAGGTCCTACTAATCTCAAATAGCCAAAAAAAATTGAAAATGCAAACCAAACAAAGGTTCGGGTCTCATGAGGCTATAACTGTCTACAACTAGCCTAGAGTAATAATAAACCATATTTATAAAGCACTTTTAAAAACTAAGTTACCAATTGTTTTACATGGTTGAACAAAAATTCAAAACATTTCAGGACTTAGGCAAATGAAATCAGGCAATTTAAGAAAGGGCAAATGAAATCAGGCAAAGAACAATGGAAAAAGAAAAAACAAAAGAGAACCCCAACAAGAAAGATAAATAGGCTGCCAACCATGAACAGATAAGCCTTTGTCAGCAATTGAATGCCCCGAAGAATGAACTGAGGCAAATGATGTCAAACAATTAAAATAATACAAAATCAAAAGAACAATGTACCCAGTGACAATGTAAGATAAAAACAATAACAAAAAACTGTATCTTAAAATTAATTAAAAGGTTTTCTTTAATAAAAAAAAAGGTACGTTTGAAGAGGTTAAAATACGTCAATCATTCTGAATCCTCATCATTATGAAACTAAGGAAAAAGGACATTATAAAATAAAAAATGCTGGAACTTAAATGAAAATGCAACAATTTGATGTTATATATTTTGTCTGATTTCTCATATTAGTAATTTCACAGTGTAATTCTATTTGTTTATTTCTGAAAACTTTGGTGTCTGTATGTGGGACACAGCTCTTCATGCACCTCTTGCTGTGGTTTGTGGTGTGTTTCTAGGCAAGACAAGGACAGTTTATTTATACGCCACATTTCAGCAACAAAGCAATTCAAAGTGCTCTATATAAGTGCAAAGAAATACGTTAGAAGAATACGTTAGAGCAATTAACTTAAGAACTAGAGAATATAAAATAAAAAATTAAAATGTACTAAAACAGGTATAAAATACAGGTGTAAGACTTACAGTGCAGTCACAATCAATGTGAAATATTTGAAGAATAAAGGCTACAGTGCAGTGTAAAAAAAATATTAAGTGTTTGTTTTAACGAAAGGAAACTCTTTCTACGTTTGAAATGTATTTATTTGCTTTAATTAATGTTAATAATGGTGGAGTTTAATATTCAAATTCTAAAATCAACCATTTTAAATGTAGTTCACAGCACTTCCATTTTATAAACGCTTTTTCTAATAATAAAAGCTTTTATTTTGAAAGCTGTGACCGGAAGCTGCGCACTTCCTCCATTGTCGGCAGTCTGACGGTGGAGCAGCGCTGCCCTCCCCCGATGAGCCAGACACACACACCGCCGGTGACTCGTCACTCCGCGCTGGAAGATGGCTGCGGCGGACCGGCCCCCTGTTAGGGAAGGGATCCGGATAGTTTTTCTGTGTGTGGGCTGGTACACGGTCAGCTCGGGGGGAAACATCGTCAACAAAATCATCCTCAATGGATTCCCGTACCCGGTCACAGTCTCTCTGTTTCATATCATCTCTATCGTCGTTTTCCTCCCGCCGTTGCTGCGGGCATGGGGAGTCCCCAAAACAGAACTGCCGAGCAGGTACTACCGGTGGTACATTCTGCCTTTAGCTTTCGGAAAATACTTTGCATCTGTGTCGGCGCACTTCAGCATATGGAAAGTACCTGTTTCATATGCGCACACCGGTGAGTACAGCGGGTTTGGGCTGATGTGGGTACTAACATGAGGCCACCTGGGTAACTTGATGATGTGTCTGTACCGTCAGCTGATGTTAGCTCCGCGGCTAACGCTGGACAACTCGGCGACACGGACATTTAACTGGCTTGTGGGCCCCGGGTTTGTGTGGCGTTGTGAAGGTCGTGACCACACGGGGTTCAATTAATTATTTAAGTTACAGAGAGTCCGCTGACTACAAATTGGTCAGCTTCAGACTCCATTTAACGCTAACCAACCGGCGGCTGTTAGCTAGGTAGCCAACTTAATTAAGCCTGATAGCCTACGTCAGGGGGGAGGGTCCATTACTGAACCGGCTCTGTGTTGCAGTGTGCTTCTCTAACTTTGATTTCACACTGCCTGTTAAAATCACATCACAGCCCCTCGTGTAATTGAGTTTTCTCATAAGAAACCCTGTTTTGGACATTAGAAGGTTACCAGCTGTGGAATGTGTATTATATAAGTTACACTCAGTTGCCACTTTATTAGGTACATCTAGCTAAAACCGTGCAGCCCATGGCTAAAACAGTCTTTTAATTCTTTCAATTTTGTGTGAAACTGTTCAGAGAGATTTTAGATGTCTCTAAACTTTTGTCAACACTACATTACACATTAGGCATCGTCAGTAAAGGTATACTTGTTAAAATAAACAGCTATCAGTGCACTCATTCTTTTTGGGGCTAAACCTTACATTTGTTTCCACTGTTTTAATTTTTTCTTGATTAGCATACATAATGTATATCAGAGGTAAGATCTGACAGAGTTGACCTCTTACAGAGATGACAAAAAGTTGTATATTGAGTAGCCATTGTCTTTTTCAATGTTGCTAAGACTTCTCTTAATGCTGATTAAAGTACTCATTTTATACTATAAATCTTATGTAGTTGTGATTTAGACAGGCTTTGGAGTTGACATGTTACCATTGAGACACATTTGATAGCAATATTTTTTCATGAATTCGTCAAAGAATAGAAAGCATACCAGTACTTGAGTAACATTCCTGCCTTTTTGGAAACCAGGAAGTGAGATAGGAGTCCTTGTGATAAAGCTGACTCCTTTCATGACCGATTTAATAATGTTTTTGTTGAAGTCTGTTAGAGGTGACATAAATCTGGGACACATCTTTAAAGGGCCAACATTTCACAAAAATATTTTGTAAAACAAAGATGTTATAGTAGTACCTTTTTTAATTGATATTATCAGTATGTACTGTTTGTTTTAGATATTGAAGATTTTTAACACTTTTTTAAAATTGTTTAAAGTTGTGAATTCTTGTCAGGGACAAGGGTATTTTTAAGTTGAGAAGTTAAAAAATGAAAGCAGATTGAAATACTTTATAAATCATATTTGTATTATATATTTGAATCTTTAAAAAATTACGTTTCACCCAAGAAACAAAATTAGTGTATCGATAAGTTATAATTTTAAGGGGTTTGTTTGTTTGATTTGTAGCATCCAAAATTACCCTAACATTACTATGAAAAACTGAACAGCATTCATGACAGAACATATTTTTGCATAGCTGTTGTTAAACTCCTTTAAAGTGGCATCTGACTGAAACCTGTGACCTCCTGACATCTAGTAATCTCTTCTTACCTTGAAACGTAAGGAAGTAAATTTGAAATATTTTGCAGGTTACAACTTCCTTTAAACCATTTAGTTTTCTTGTGGTGTTTGCACAGTGCAGGGTTTATTACAGGGTTGTTCTAGATGAAATAAACTGGCAATTTAATGTGAAGTGACACCTGTGAAAATCAGGTGAGTAAACTTAAAATGGCACCTCCTCTACACCATTTTCAAGACCCCCTGTGGACTTTGCACCTAATTTGGGAACCATTGCTTCCATAGTAATAAGATGTAAATCCTTCTGTCATTGTGTATGACAGTTTCCATTAACATTTTTAACTGGTTTTAGCAGCTAAAACCTGTTGGTAACGTCCCCCAGTTTCCACTAGCATTCGTGTAGCCACTTACAGCTAGGTTGCTTTGACTGCAAAAATGTACTCTCAGTTGGCAGTCTAATTCAACAGTCCTACAATACACCCTGATTACATGAAGGTTTTAATGTTCAGTTTTAGTAGAAACTATTTTAGAGAGGAGCTGATTCAACTTTATGATCCTCTTGGAAGCTGCAATTTGTTGAGCCGTTGAGCTGTATTGTGTTATTAGTGTATTTGTGAGGGATGTTTCTCATTTGAAGTGTGCCCTCGTCGATATAAATTGGGTGGAGAAAATATGAGATGCCTCCCGGTGTAATGCAATAAAGCACCAGGAGCTATCAGCAGCCTCCACAATGACCATAAAGGTGAATCAACACCTCTCGTGTTTACTGCATTAGTTTGAGCTAGATGTACCGAACACACAGGCAACTGAGTGTATTGTAAAACCTATGAATTAAATAGTCCTCTTAACTTGTAATTGTTTGTCCTAACTTAAATGTCAAATGAAATGACCTATTTCAAAGAACCTTGGGGGTCCTTAGACACATTTTTAGAGTAACAGCTGTCAATAAAATCTCTGTCCTTTTAAGTTGCTTTACTTTCACATTTAGCTTCCGTCTTTGTGGATAGTAGTTTTGTAACAGTGCTGAATCTAGCTCTGATGATTTTACAGTCTGAAAATACCTGTTGATAAGTAATGCACTTGTTTTAAATTGTCAGGGTGCCACAGCTCTTGAGTAAAACTATCTCTTATTGTTGGTAACACACACCAGGAAAAACCTAATGGTACACCAGCCAGTGACACACTGCAATAGAGGTGTGTTTGGCTGAGGCTGTGTTCTGGCTCCTGACGTAGTAGCACCTTATAGTCCAAACTCTTGTGCTCTCTACCTGCTGCTGTTAAACAGCAAGGAAATGATTGTTACACTCCACAAGCTGACATTGTTCCCTTTATCGTTTCTTTCTTTCACAGTCAAAGCTACAATGCCAATATGGGTTGTGCTGTTATCAAGAATTATCATGAGGGAGAAGCAAACCACAAAGGTGAGTAAGTTTTGACACAGCAAACACGGCACAAGGCCCGCTCTGTTTGAGACTCAGCAGTGGTGATGTGGCACAGTACTGCGCCCGTACTGCATCTCATATTACGGCCATCTGCAGGGGCTTTTGTCCCTGAATTTAGTCAGATGTTCTTTGGGAGGTGGGGTGGAGGTCACAGAGGGGAAACTAACTTTTTATTTCCACCAGCCAGCCACACTCACCTGTTAATCACCAAATTCACTCACAACTTTCCATATTCGAGGACCCAGCTGGGTTTGTGTTCATGCATGACTTTCAAAGGTTGTTAGAATTCATGCAGAGTATTTTGGTGTGCAGGTGTGGAAAGGCTTCAGGTGGTTGAATATTTCCAGAGCAGGGGGTAGAGTTATATTAGCACTAAAAGAAGCCTGGTCTCCAATTTTCTGGCTCAGTGGCGTAATGTTCTTCGAGGACAAAACACCTGTTGAGTGCACACACTGTTTGTTTGTTACAGTCCATTAGCATAGGAAAACACTTAAGGGATTTATTTACACTCAACGGACTGTTAGATCAACTTGAGTTGATGTACTTACATTTATCCTGGAGTGTATCTAACTTCAAGTGTTTGTCAGCATTATAGTATTAGCACAGAAGTTAGTGAAAGGGTAACATGATCATATCGCTATAAACAACTTCGCTTAAAGTTAATTAGTTCCACTATTAAGCAATTGTTTGGTCCATGAAATATAAGAAAGTAGTGAAAAATGGCCATCACAGTTTCCCAGGATGCAAGGTAACATCTTCAAATGTCTAATTTACAAGGTCGCTCCAAAAAATAAAATATTCAGTTGGTTTAAAAAAGAGACTTTTTTTGCTTAAACTGACTCAAATGAATAATAAATTATCAAAATATCCATCCAATTAATTTTCTTTTCAGTCGATTAACAAATTGATTAACACTAACCAAATAAAATCTTGGTTGAGTGAAATTCTTCCTACTCTTCAACCAGTCGTTTGGTCGATGGGGAAAAATATCTGCATGTTATTATCATGCTCTTTACTTAATAGCGCTGTGTGTCTACCCAAACCATTTTTTTCTGTCACAAAGTTCGACATTAACACTTGCCCAGGGCAAGTTAACTCTGTGGTCAGGCAAGTGGAATGCCTCAAGTGAAAAATAAAGGCGATCTCCGGTGTAATATTATCAGAAAAGTGTACTGTAACGCTTTTCCACCTGAGCTGCGTGGACATGGCCATCGTACCACTAAACGTTGGACAGGACTGATGAGAAATATCAGACACACTGGGCACTATAGAAGTTAACTAGTTGACGATGTCATATACAACATAACGTAACTAACGTTAAATTTCTCTGTAACGCCAATTGCTATTTTTAGCCCAGAAGCTAATATAAGCCATCCTACCACTCCAACAAGGTCTCCGTAGTATAGTGATTGTATCCCTCTCAGAAGCTTTATATTAATTCAGCCTTGAACTGCGTGTCCTTTTTGATACTTGGTAAAAATAAATCCATAATGATTACTCTGACACTGAATGTCTTCTGTGATTATTTATCCATTTTCAATTAAAAAGAAGAGTTGAAAAATGTTTAACTTTGGTTGAAACTTAGCACTCATCACTGTTACCAGCCGTCTAATCACAGCGGAGAAGGGGCCGGACAAATACCACAAAGACCAACCATCACAGACAACATATACAAGTGTTGAACAAGAACTGTTGTTGTCAGCTGGGAAAAGAAACGCTTTGGTGGACACACGGCCTTATTTAAGAAACACCTACGATCGTCTGACCAATGAGAATTTAGTTGGAAAACAGCATATTGACCAACCAACCAGAGGGAGACAGCCCTAATTAACAGATGAATTGTTTAAGCTCTATAATTACTACCCGACTACAAACACCCCGGCTCATCTTGGCCACACGCAGATTGACAGTGACAAAGTTTAAATTAGGCTTGACTCTCTTCCCTCCATAGGTGTTGTACAAAACACCATAAAGCACTGTATGAAATACTGGAACCATTGAACAGAAAATATGATGTATTTTCTGCACGCACAGCTCCTGTGCTCAGCTGTCAAACTGTTAAATCTTATTGGCTTTACAAGCTATAATGTCGTTCTACCGTAGTAGTCTGCACTGTGCAGCTGTGTGTTGTAAGACAAACCAAATCTTAATGAAGAGAAAAAGAAAAAGAACCTCAATATCTGCCTCTGCTCTGTGTCAAAGAATCAGGATTAAAGGCCAAAATGCTTGGTTGGGGCGAACTTTACAGCATATGATCTCTGTGGAATAATGCGTCGTCATAATACATCATGATTGTGGGATATTTTACGGTCACGGTTTGCTGAACGTGAATAAAGAGACCTCTGAGTCTAACATTAGCCCGTCATGTTTACCTTTACAGTCGGCAGTTCAGTAGTCAGACAGGCTGGGTCCACAGGGAATGTAGGTGTTGATGACGTGTTAGTGTGTGTGTGTGTAGAGAGATCCTGTTTGAGGAGCAGCAGGATACACTGAACTGTACTGAAGAAGTGCTTTGTCAAAATGATCAAATTCAGTATTTATACTTGACTCAGCTTTGTTCAAAAATTACAATAAGTCCAGAATTTCAAACATAATGGACTGTACAAAATATACTCAGTGGCCACTTAATTAACACTTTATGGTGGAACAGTTGTATTGGATTGCACTGGATTACACAAGTGTACCTAATAAAGTGGACACTGTAGATTTATAAGGAAGTAAGTACATATAACCAAGCAGTATAGTCTCATATCGTCTCGAAGTTTTCCCTTTGAGTGCAGACAGCCTTCAGGATGAATTTCCAGATTAAATCCTGAAACCTGAAATGGGACACAAATCTAGGGCTCTGCCAAAATAGATGAGGCTTCACTTAATATTCAGGGTTACACAAAAAAGAATACCAGCCACTTTACAATTGAGCGCTTGTGTTAAAAGCCCTTAACTGGATGCATCAGCATGTTCAGTGTGTTAGCAGAAGATAATTTTGTTAACTTTTCATCCTGATTGTGTTGAACAAGTCGTTGCCTGGAGCTGCTCTGCTCGCTCGTGGTGCATCCTGTTGAAAATGTTTAATCATCACAAACACATTAATGCAGGCAGCTTATTGGCACAGTGTACAGTTTGGCTGCAGAGCCAGTCATATTCACACTGTCTACCTGCTTTGGCAGCAAATTCTGGCTGAAAGTTGCCAGCCTGCCTTTTTTTGTTGCTTTTCTTTGCCAGCCTCTTCCTCTGACTACTCTTCCTTGAGTTACTCACTCTTGTTGCCAGTGTTACTTAGTTATTTACGTACAATAAAACCGAGGGCAGGTGAACTGGAATCGGACAATAAACGCTCAGTGCAGTGTTTTCTCAGTTTCACTCTGTGTGTTTGGTTTGAGGGGAGGAGAGTGGGTGACTGAGTGGGTGCACAAGTGGGTTTCATAACAACTGTGTCTGTATCATTTTTCACGGTCCAGCATTTTCAACACGCAAATAAATGGATAGTTTCAGCCCATGAGGTGTTTTCCCCAAGTGTGTGGTCTCAGATAGAAGGGTTAGTATGTCCAGCTGCAGCCTCTGAAGGTGTGACATTTTTTCCTCGTTATTTTTACAGTGCTTCATGCAGTATTGCAAACTTAACTGTGGAAGTTTTGTAAAGCTATTTGGGTTTTGTTAGGCGGTTAAATTGTGGGTGCACTGGATTTAAGGCTTTGAAGAATGTTGGAAATATCACTTAACATTTTCTACACTTTTAGTAGCCTGTCAAAGTTAATGTAATAATGATTTGTTGATGTTACAGCAAGGCATTACCTGATTATCATTGGTATTTTGATATCATTGATATGATTCATATTCCTACGTCTCAGGGATGCAACTAACAATTAATCTGTGATAATTTCCTTTATTGCTTGGTCTATAAATAGGGAAAAGGCCCACCACAATTCCCTAAAGCCCAGCAGTGGCTTCCTCATATCACTTGTTCTGTCTGACACCAGTCCAAAGCCCTGAGATTTAAATTACCTGGGAAACACTCCCTGATGCAGCAGCTGTACCGTCCTGGATATAAACCACTAAAGCGTTGTTTGTTATGGTTCCTGCTGACTCTGCCTTCTGTGTGGTCCTCGTCGTAGGTGTACGTATCGCTCATCCCCATCATTGGAGGAGTGCTGCTGGCCACGGTGACTGAGCTGTCCTTTGATGTTTCAGGACTAATCAGCGCTCTGGCTGCGACGCTCTGCTTCTCTCTGCAGAACATCTTCTCCAAAAAGGTAACTCATTCTCATGCAGCCACACGATGAGCAGGGTGGGAGAGGGGGGGTTTGTAAAAATGCGGTCAGAAAAGAGAAGTGGTTCTGTGTTGAAAAAATCAGGATGAGCAACTGGATTTCACAAGTCACCCCAACTAACTGTAATCACTGAAGTGTGTTTTTCCTTTCAACTTTGACCTTGTGTGCCCAATTGTTGCCATCATGATTCATTATTGTGTATGTAAATACAGATGTACAGTACAGGCCAAAAGTTTGGACACACCTTCTCATTCAATGCGTTTTCTTTATTTTCATGACTATTTGCATTGTAGATTCTCACTGAAGGCATCAAAACTATGAATGAACACATGTGGAGTTATGTACTTAACAAAAAAAGGTGAAATAACTGAAAACATGTTTTATATTCTAGTTTCTTCAAAATAGCCACCCTTTGCTCTGATTACTGCTTTGCACACTCTTGGCATTCTCTCCATGAGCTTCAAGAGGTAGTCACCTGAAATGGTTTTCCAACAGTCTTGAAGTAGTTCCCAGAGGTGTTTAGCACTTGTTGGCCCCTTTGCCTTCACTCTGCGGTCCAGCTCACCCCAAACCATCTCGATTGGGTTCAGGTCCGGTGACTGTGGAGGCCAGGTCATCTGCCGCAGCACTCCATCACTCTCCTTCTTGGTCAAATAGCCCTTACACAGCCTGGAGGTGTGTTTGGGGTCATTGTCCTGTTGAAAAATAAATGATCGTCCAACTAAACGCAAACCGGATGGGATGGCATGTCGCTGCAGGATGCTGTGGTAGCCATGCTGGTTCAGTGTGCCTTCAATTTTGAATAAATCCCCTACAGTGTCACCAGCAAAACACCCCCACACCATCACACCTCCTCCTCCATGCTTCACAGTGGGAACCAGGCATGTGGAATCCATCCGTTCACCTTTTCTGCGTCTCACAAAGACACGGCGGTTGGAACCAAAGATCTCAAATTTGGACTCATCAGACCAAAGCACAGATTTCCACTGGTCTAATGTCCATTCCTTGTGTTTCTTGGCCCAAACAAATCTCTTCTGCTTGTTGCCTCTCCTTAGCAGTGGTTTCCTAGCAGCTATTTGACCATGAAGGCCTGATTGGCGCAGTCTCCTCTTAACAGTTGTTCTAGAGATGGGTCTGCTGCTAGAACTCTGTGTGGCATTCATCTGGTCTCTGATCTGAGCTGCTGTTAACTTGCGATTTCTGAGGCTGGTGACTCGGATGAACTTATCCTCAGAAGCAGAGGTGACTCTTGGTCTTCCTTTCCTGGGTCGGTCCTCATGTGTGCCAGTTTCGTTGTAGCGCTTGATGGTTTTTGCGACTCCACTTGGGGACACATTTGAAGTTTTTGCAATTTTCCGGACTGACTGACCTTCATTTCTTAAAGTAATGATGGCCACTCGTTTTTCTTTAGTTAGCTGATTGGTTCTTGCCATAATATGAATTTTAACAGTTGTCCAATAGGGCTGTCGGCTGTGTATTAACCTGACTTCTGCACAACACAACTGATGGTCCCAACCCCATTGATAAAGCAAGAAATTCCACTAATTAACCCTGATAAGGCACACCTGTGAAGTGGAAACCATTTCAGGTGACTACCTCTTGAAGCTCATGGAGAGAATGCCAAGAGTGTGCAAAGCAGTAATCAGAGCAAAGGGTGGCTATTTTGAAGAAACTAGAATATAAAACATGTTTTCAGTTATTTCACCTTTTTTTGTTAAGTACATAACTCCACATGTGTTCATTCATAGTTTTGATGCCTTCAGTGAGAATCTACAATGTAAATAGTCATGAAAATAAAGAAAATGCATTGAATGAGAAGGTGTGTCCAAACTTTTGGCCTGTACTGTAGTTGTATGTGGGGTTTTTGTTATCATGTTTGTTTTGGCTTAAATTGAATTTTTAGCTTCACTTAATGTTTTTAGCTTGTGTTGACACTGTTGTAGAGCAACGAGAAATCCCACTTGTCTTATTGGTGCCACTAATATATTCATTTGAGGAACAAATCCAAGTTTAAAGTTCAGATATATATGACGGACAGGAGATTTCAAATGGCAGTAATGTGGTAAATTCCATGGTAAAAGGACTGCATTTGTATAATGCCTCTCTACCTTAACAAACAAAGGTGGTTGTTATGTTATTTATACACACTTGGTGGCAGTGCTTGCCTGCCCATTAGGAGCAACTTCAGGTTCAGTATATTGCTCAAGTATACATCAACATGTGGACAGGCGGAGCTGGGGATCACACCACAAGACACATACTACAAGCAGCATGGTCATCACAATGGCATGTCTAATATCGCCATGAATGCAAGTATTAGGTAGTGGGTTATTAGAACACAGACCTGGATGTTTAATAAGGTTTATTAGTGTAGTTTAGATTCCTTTAATGTTCTCTAAAGTTTTACTGCCGTTGACAGTATAACAAGCTACTTTTATGAATAATTGGAGAAGTCGGTGAACACACAAGGGAGAGAAAGGAGGACTGAAAGCATTATCGAACCTCTAACCATCTCCAGCCACAAGAAGGTTACTTATGACTCTGTTAAAACTCAGTGATTCAATGACAATAGTTTCTCGAAAACATCAAAGGAGTATAAATACAGTTCATTGATGTTTAGCTACTAATTAGTATGCAATCATGTAAGTTCAAATGTAAAACAACGATAATTTACATTGTTCATTGATTTAGAAAGAATATTTACAGTATTTACAGGTTGATGCAGTTACATTTCATATTTATACTCATAATGATTGAATAGTTTTCTTCCTTGAGCGTAAAATGTGTGTTGATACTTTAAAATGCATAACATCTTCATCATCTTCATTGCACTACTTGGCGATCTTTCTGCTTTAAACATACCCACTCATCACAAATCATTCCTTCTAATAGCATTAACCATCGCCAAAAAAACAATATTACTGAACTGGAAAGATAGATCCAAATTATCCATATCACATTGGCTTAACTTACTTACAGATCATTCAAACCTAGAAAAACTTACCGCTGCTTTGAAAAATAACACATCCTATGAGAACACCTGATCCCCCTTCATACAGTGCCTCCAAAGCTGATTCCTCTTACATTAAATGTATATTCACTCTCTGCTCTCCTCATTACTCTGCTAACACATCCTAATACTGCAGCTGTCATATATCAAATGAACATGTATTTATTTATTTATCTATTTATTTATTATTCATTTGTTTCTTCCTCTTTTTTTGTGTACACACTGTTAAAGTCAAATATATATTATGTAGATAGCCATATAATCATGTTATAATATATTGAGCATAATGCAAACATGATTTGAATAATTATACTATTATCATTATTAATATTATCATTATTATTATTATTATTATTATTACAATTATAATCACAAGATGCAATTAAGATGACAACAGGGGTGTTGGGGGGTGGCGCCGGGCTGGGTGGGTTTGGTAGGTGTAGGGGTGTCCTCATGCCTGGCTCTCCGGTGGCGCGGCGGGGCCCCTGGTTGGGGCAGGCAAGCAGCGGGGCTGGCCGGGCCTACTCCTCTCAAACACCACAGAGGTAATCTACAAATAAATCTGTCAGGCCATGCCCCTCCAGGTTGGACAGACTCCCTCCCAAGGGGTCTGGGAGTTGCCCAGGACTGAGACGGGAAATGGGATTACGGCAAGACCTGCAAAGGGTCAGTGGCCACCTAAGGGTCTGGGTGTGGCCCAAAAACAGGACTGCCCTAAATAGATAAATATATATATATATATATATATATAACACACAAATAAATAATAAACTGTAGTTATGTATGTTCCCCCCGTCATGTCTGTTTATGTGTTCACCATGTCATGTCACTGTTTTTGTCATGTAATTTCACTAAAAAAAAAAAAAAAGAAAAGAAAAAAAAGCATAACATCTCAAGTATGCTCAAATTTGTCACTTTTGGAAACCTGCAATCAAACAGCGAAACTTGGGGGAAAAAAATTGAAATATTTCCATCTCTGACTGTTTCGTGCAAATCATACCCACAATTTCACCGAGAGTTTCTCTTCTTTGTTCCTTGTCATTTTGCACGAGCCCAGCTTCTGGCAACTCTACAACAGTCAGTGATCAGGTTTTGAACACAATCGTCAGGGTTGAAAACAAATTAGGAAAATAATGCCAACATTTAAAATGACTCTACTTGCACTCAACAGGCTTTTTTTTTTAGATTCAAAGGGAAGGTTTGTTGTTTTAAAGATGTCTTTACCAGCCAAAGTAGAATCAGATTATGTGATATCATTTCAAAATTGCTCTCTCTTTGATTTGATATGGTGTGTTCAGTAAGTGTGTAGTGGACAACAGAAAATATTGTAATAAGGAAAGACCAAAGATTTTACATCACCATCTCCTTTGCTTGTCACTCTCTTCTTTTTGTAATTGATCTTTTTTTCCTCTTTGTAAGGTGTTGCGTGACACAAGGGTCCACCACCTGAGGCTCCTCAACATCCTGGGCTTTAATGCTGTTATCTTCATGCTGCCCACCTGGGTTCTGGTGGATCTGTCTGTGTTTCTTGTCAATGGAGATCTGGTGAGTAGCAATAACAGCTAATTAATTGTTGATAGTGTCAAGCAGCATCTGTCTTGTTTTATGATCCCCAAACGCAGCCTAACCACACTGTTCTCCTCACAGTCCGACATCTCAGGATGGACAAGCACCTTCATCCTCCTGCTCATCAGCGGCTTCTGCAACTTCGCACAGAACGTCATTGCCTTCAGCGTGCTGAACCTCGTCAGCCCGCTCAGCTATGCCGTTGCCAATGCCACCAAGAGGATCATGGTCATTAGCATCTCGTTGCTAATGCTGCGCAACCCAGTCACCCTTACAAATGTCCTGGGTATGATGACGGCCATAGTTGGCGTCTTCCTCTACAACAAGGTAAGTCACTCTGACGTCTTGTGTGGACGGAGGAGAGGAGAGAGGAGAAGATGAATTATTTCATGTGAGAAGCTAATGTCAGCAGATAATATCGGTCCAATTTATGTTTCCAAAAACTAAGTCATCCTGCAGTTTACATTTTTTAATGCGGCTTTCTTTCCATTTGTATGTGTCTTTATATAAATGTACTCAATATATGCAGAACCAGCACTTTGCTCCATTTAGTTTTTCTTTCCTAAACAGTAAACTGCTTGGTACTCTGCCTAAAAGCAGCTTTCCATTTCTGCCACTCTCCGTCCAACTTGTGGCTGTATGTAATGTAATGTAAATAATAAACTTTACACTTTACTTATCCTCATTTGGAAACGTTTGACCCACCCAAACTATTTAGGATCAGTGGGCAGCCACAGTGCAGTGCCTGGGAACCAACTCCAAAGACACCCAGTCATTTAAAATCCATTTGCCCTTCTCCTCTGCCAACAGGCCAAGTATGACGCTAACAAGGAGAAGAAGCTGCTGCCAAGCACCAAGCAGGACCTGATGTCCTTTGACAACCTGGCGCTGGAGAAGATCCAGGCCAATGGGTCAGTGCCTTTCTCCCACGGCTCAGAGCAGCAGCACAACTGGAACAACGTGCTGACCGACCACTTCCAGTACAGCCGGCAGGCCTACACGACAAACTACAACAGCAACCACCAGTACGTGGTGTAAAGGAGGAGTCTGTCTCCACTCTGGGTGGCTGTCATAGACATTAACTGTGTGTAGCCGCCCCCCGCCCCCACACACACACACACAGCAGCAGGACACAGCCCCGCTCCAAACACGAGACTGAAGGCAAGTGCTGTTTGTTCTGGATAGGAAGAATGAGATGGCCAGTGACGTGACCTCTCCCACGCTCCCCCCTGTCTGAACTTCACTTTCTGACGGCTTCGCTGTATCTCATTTATTTATTTGTTTGGTACCGACTGTATGGGATGGTTTGAGAGGAAACTTAAATCACCTGTTGTCAGAAATTTTGGTGACGGATTCAGCCATGTTGTCCAGACACAGAAATGTGCACAGCAGGTGGAAACGTAAAAGGTAGTTCATGAATGATTGCACCTTACTATCTGGAAATGTCTGGGTTTTTTTTTTTTTCACAACCAGCCATAATTTGTTTTGGATTATATTTGTTCACTTTCATCGGAAAGAATGTCAGCTGTAATTATTTAATATGAACGCTAACTTGCGCCGAAACAGCAGTCATCTTACATTTTGTAACAAACGCATCTCAGTGGAAGGCCTTAAAGGTATACTATGCAGGATTATCCTACAAAACAAGACTCGTACAGAAGTAATCCCTCTCAGTCCTCACTTATGACCCAGTAGAGAGACTCCGACCTCTGCATGTATTTGTTTGGACTTTAATAAAAAGGAAGCTGCGAAAATCCTGGACACAGCGCCTAAAAAAACAAATAGATCGAGACGAAACATCAAGCGGACAAAGCTTGCTCCCAAATAAGAGTGAATCTGGGGCTGGCTTCCACTTTCCCTGGCAGTGTTTCCAAACATTAACAGACATTTCCTGCATAGTATACCTTTAACATTTTGGTTTTAGGCAGATCATATTTAAGAGTGACATTTTTCTTCATGAGGCACCTGTAATGATGTGAGGAGAAGCAATCTGAATTGTTTTCTTCAGTGAATTAAAACGCATTCCACTTTACAAAAGCTGAAGGCAGATGAGACTTTGGGAAGTTGTGGTTTTGTAGATTTTATGCAACAGTAAAATAATCTGATCAGACTTCCATAGGCTTTTGCACCATGCTAGCGGCAAATACTCTATTCATGGTCCTCAGAGGAGGAACCTTGTTAACTTTGGTGGTCTCACGACTTTTCATTTTACCTTTTATATTGATTGTCATGAAATTTGGATCATTCATTTCCCCCTGAGGATAAACTATAATCAGATTTGGTGATCGTCTGACGTTATATCCAGCGCCATCCTTAGGTCAGAATTTCCATTTGTCCACTATCTTGGTTGATAACTAAATTCCTGCAGATCTAATTCCCATCAGCCTTAGCTTTACTTGTGTTTGGTGCTTTATTTAGTGCTATAGTGTTAGCATACTAGCTATACCAACACAGTGGTGATCGTCAGCATGTTAGCATGGTAACAGTTGTGTTCTGACTGCACTCACGAACAATGTGGCTCAGAATTACAAGTGCCTGATGAAGAAGAAAATGCCCTCATTTCAAAATAAAGTTTTAAAAAAAAGTCAGTTCATTGTGTCTGCAACAAAGTGATGCTTGTAAACTTGTTGGACACACAGATCAGTAAAATTCAGTCACACTTGTTGTCAGCAAGTGTTTGGACTGCCACTATCATAGGCCGTTTCAACACAAACACACACACACAGCCTGTTTGTCTTTGAACTAAGGTAAACTTTCAGAGTGAGACTAGTTCTGTCACACAGAACAGTCAATGACCTCCATCAGATCTGTCCTTTCCCCTAAGATAACAAATAAGTTTGTTTATCATGGAGCGTAAATGTAAAAAGTAAAAATTAGATTTACCAAAACAAGGCATCCTGTCAGTATACGTACTGTAAGGATGCCCATGTTTCTTTGTTCTTAGGGAGTCTAACCATGTTAAATGTAATAAAGATGCTAAAATTATTTTGCTGTCATAGTTTGAAGTTAAAGAATCGATTTAAAACGATCCCTAGTTTTTTCTCAATTGATGATGTTTGTATTTATTGATCTGCAAAGCTTCTCAGGCAGAGAGAGATCTTCTCTCCTGTCAGGCGTTTTTTTTCAGCCTGAACCAAAGCTGCTCTGTCATGTCTCTGTTTTTTAAACAGAGGTGCGGTTCGAGTTTGCACATCATGAAACAACTGTATGTGTCATGCAGATTGTGACTGTCTGTCAGGTGACTTTAAAGTCCCGGTGTTTTAATGTAAAGTGTTTCTGCAACATTGCTGTCAGACGGTCACTGGACAGATTCAAAATGAGACATGCATGAAATCACAGGTTTGGTTTGTGCATTTAAAGATTCAACTGTAACTTTAGCGGGGGAGAGGTTTGATTGGCATTATTGATTACACTGTCTGCAACTAATCATTTATTAATGAAAAGCCTTTTTCTACTGCTTGAAGAACGATTTAATTTAGTAAAGATCAGTCACTTGCTTTTCTCACTGCAGCAATATAAAGTTTTTATGTTCTTTTTGTTTTTTAGCGATGCAAATGTCTCCACATCTGAAATCAACGTTGTGTTTCTGCTCATATATTTTGTTGGAACAACGCACGTTCATTGAATTTTTGTAAAAGTGCCAGTTGTAGCCTGTGAGCTTGTTTTTTCAGCTGTAGTCCCCGGTAGATGTGGATAAGGGGATAATGTGGTTATATTCTTATAATATGGCTTTTTTTAGTGTGCCGTGTTTGTCGTCTTTGACAAATTTAAAATACTGTCACAGTATTTAGTCTGGAGGAAAACCCCCCAAGAGCTCTGTGGGGTTGGTGTGCTCCAGGCTTCCCACAGACAAACTGATATCAATAATTGTCCTATTTTTATTTATAGAGAGAACTAGCTCTTAGCGCTGAGATAGATTGTAGCCAACATAGTTTGTAGGATCTTGGGAACATGCAGCTGCTCTGTTTTTCTCCAGCGGGGAGGGGAAATCACCTCCCCCTGTTTTACAGTAATTGACTAGAAAACATCTGATATCATGAAGTGGATTTCAACAGCCTGGGGATTATTACTACCTTATTCAAATGATTTTTTTTTTTTTTTTGTTTGTTTACTGCTGCTGTAGTTGTATGTGTGTTTACTGTTGTACACTTTGAGGCTGTAATTTGTGGTGTCGGACTGCGTTAGATTAAGAAATATAAGCAGAAATATCAGAAACTTGTTAAAATGTAACAAAGGGCACGATGACGCCACAAACTGCCGCCTCAAAAAGGATAAAGGAATCAAAACCCTCTAAATGTCAGCATTGATTAAAATTATACATTTCATAAAGTTAGCTTTTATGTTTTGTTTTCAGTCAACCTCAAAACTTCATCACCGACTTTTCCTATATTAAAATTGAGTTACATTGTAATATTAAAGAGTCATGATGCCGTAGCAGCAGAGAGTTAACACCCATCTCTGCAGCTCTATGATTGTCTGGATTTACAGCCACACAGATCCTGTGTAGTTAAATATTAATGTTCTCATCAGCTCTCTGCAAGCAGCCGTTTAAAGCGCCTGAGATAAACCACACGTGTTACCTTCCCAACATCAATCGGCAGACAAATTTACAGAGTGGCTGCAGAACAAAGTGAAGCATTTAACAGTTTAAACACCAGATATTTAAAAGAAGTTGGTGGAGACCAAAATTGAGCTTAAAGAAGAGTGAGTACTATTCGTCAGGCGGCCAGAAACATTAAGATGTTTATTTCACTTTAAGATTTTAGTTTCTACTACTGCTATGTGAAGGAGCAGATGTCAAAATATACTGCTTTATGAGCACCTGTCTCGATAGATTACTAAACACTAAGCAATCATGACTTGACTCTGTAATTCATTTATATGCACAGAACAGCTTTGTTCTTGAACTTTTGTCTCCAGCAGGTGGATCCTTGATAACTTAGAAAGCTGATAGTTGCCTCATGTAAATATCAAAGTGAAAAACTGCTCTCTTAAATCATCGCAGATGCTTTTAGAAACAATCGAAATTGGCTTGTTGTTGACATATTTTAATACAGATAACATTTTATGGCTAAAATAAAATGGACACTTCACCTGCATATCAGGTTGGTGCGATAAATCAGGTGAATTGTGACATATCCTGCACCCCTGCATGATTAGATATGTGAAGAACAGGAAATCCGTCGTCCATGTGAGGGGTGAGTATATTCTAGAAATCAAAACTTACCAACAGCTGAGAAATGTGTTTACATGTTAAATAGCAGCGACGACAAAACAAAAGTACTTGATAAGAAACAACACAATCCTTTTGATAGGTTAAGAATGTAATACTCACATGTAGCCTGCAGAGAAATAACAGATCACGTCACATCTGAACCTCCTGTCTCACTGTCCACTGCCACAGCTATGTTTTTAGACTCTCTGATTTCTCATGTTGCCAAAAGCAGTTTGCAATAAGTGTAATCTTTTTAATGCTGATACACGACAAGATGGAGGCCGTGTTTACGGGTGGGCAAGATGTAAAAATTCCTAAACTACAACATGTTGTAGTTTAGGAATTTCCCTCATGATTTTGTTTTCCTGTGTCATGCTGGCTGTTTGTTTCTGCACAGTGAGCAAACTGGGAGAAAACTGTTAATTTGGACACTTTTAACTGGGACGTAAATGTTAATGAATACAGAAAGGAGGGACTTAATTTGTAAAACTTATTATTTTTGTGTGTTTGATGCATCTCGAGGCAGACTTTTTACTTAAATGATGTTTATAGATTTTTATTTATGGTGTCAAGGTACAAAAATGTGCTGCAGTGCACAGTCTTGTCTGCTTATATGTTTAGTAAATGCTATTTTTAAATGTTGGGGATTTTGGGGGTGGGGGAATAAATGCATTATGGGATACTGAACATAATTGTATGTCTTTATTAATGTGTACGTATTCATGCTTTTAATTAACCCTTGAATGGTGAAAGGATGGAAATGTGACCACTGAAGGAGTATTTTCAGCCACACTTGAATGATAATATTTTTAGATATTGCACTGGCATCATATTTTGTGTGAAATTTAAAGACAGCAGGTGTAATGTGAGGCATCAAGGTTCAACAAGAGACAAACTCCTACCTGGCATCAAGAAACCAAAGCACCATGTTTCTGTTTAAACTGGTTAATCTCAGCTTAAAACATCACTGTTGTTGGGATGTGAAAGAATAACGTGGAGGCAAATGTCTTCACCAGGAGTATAAGTTCAATTAATTAACATTTGTGGTCGAGCATCTTAAAGCCAGGTTTAAAAAGCCATGTTAATTATAAACTTAAGGTATATTCATGTTGTTCTTGGTAACCAGACTGCTTCTTTGTTTGTATTTAGAGCCCCCTGGTGGCCAAAAATCATTTCACGCAGCATCAATTTCAGCTTCCTTTGACAGTGTGGCTTTTTCGAGGGTCATAAAAGATTTCATACATATTTGTTTATGTTTGTTTTACACATAATCCTGAGGAAATCATGTATCACCTTAATACTCTAGTCTTTTATAAACAAGCTGTCGGTGCTTTGCATCAGACTTGAACAGACATTTTTCATGGCAGACATGTCATAGAAGAGAAGCACAGGTGTATTTAATAACATTAATGATGGTTGCATTCCACTCAGGGGAGCCCTTATATTGTGCATGCTGGCTCACTGGAATAGCCCACTGGGACACTTAATGGAACCGAGCCACTGTTAATGTCAGTTTCACCTGTGTTTTCCCTACTATGACAAGTCAAAATGTCTGCTGTGATAAAGCTCCACTGTTCAGGGTAATAAAGTAATCTGCAGAAGGTCCTGGGAGGACATCCTGGAAAGAACGTCCTCCAGATGGAGCTCAGTCGCCTCCTCTCCACTGCTCATGATGCCTGCATGTCTCCTCCCTGCATGGCTGAAACTCTGAACCGGACTCTTCCCTGTTTATAATGTGAACAGGTAAGTTCAGAAGCGATATGGATCAAGTCTAATGATTGGACACTTAATGAGAGTGTGTGACTGACTGCTTACACGCTGCTTTTTTTATGTTCGTCAACAGAAACAGACCTGAACAACTAAATGTTGCTGACTCCATGTGCTCCAGGGAAAAGGTTCAGAGATTAATCTTTTCACACCCTGGATCTTAAACGTGAAATACATCTCTAAAGCCGTGACTGGGGTCAAAGTCAACATTTCACCAACTGAGACGCCAGCAGTATTCAAGTTTTACTCAAGACTTAAAGAGCCAAACAGAAAAGACAAAGGACACCAAGACTCAAACTAGGATCTTTAATACAAACATGAATCAGTAGTCAGTGCTTCATTGAGCTCATATCAGTGTTTTAAATGTCTCTCCTGATGCAAACTTCTGAGAGGTTTTCCATGGGCATGGCTGTAACAGAGGGAGGATGGGGGGCCTGAAACCCACCAGTATACACCATGAAAAAAACATCTCAGACAAATAGTTGTGATGCGTCCTCACCCAGCGACTCTTCTGATGTTCAGGCACTTTTATTTCTGTTAAAGGAAATAATTACTTGTGACCCTGGATCTTCCAAGATGAAATGAGCTATCTGAAGGAGCTGTGTACTATTGCTGTAGCTTAATTCACATGAACTGACTGAATGACTGACTGGTGGAGGGAGGAGCTGCGGGTGACGTGATGTGAGAAAGGAGAGGATGAGGAACTTTATATGGGCGTGATGGTAAAGAAGCAGCCAGATTGGGAGACAGTGAAAGACACAAAATAAAGGCTCTGCCGTCTCTTATTGTTGCATTTCGGCAACAACACCCAAGTTCTTTTTTCTCATCTGTCCTGTGTCTCTGCCGGAGACTCCTACATACTAGATGCAGAGCAGCCGTCCACTTTTATTTAATAAATAATCCTGCAGGAGCTCAGAGGGTCCTCCTGTGATTGTCCAGCTGTGGGCCCACACACTCGTCACAGTCCTGCCAACAACAGCTCTGAGACAACCTCCCTTCATTGAGCTGCTTGGTGCTTCAGAGAGCAGCAAACATTCATAGACACCAAACTCGTCTTCAGTCTGTTTTAAGTCTGGCGGACACTCTCTGTGTCATACGCAGTAAATTTGATGGTGGCAGGCAGTTGAGTCATGATGTTTGTGTTGCACATGAGCTGGGTGAGCACGTGATTGTCCCTCATGAGTTCAGGATAAAACAGATTCATTTGTGGTGTAGGAGGTGAACTACTGTTACTGCGAGTGCTGCCGCCTCGCCTGGATAAACTCAGTAACCGCCGAAACAGAGACCTCCTGAGGAGGATGTAGATCCAGGGGTCGAGGATGGGGTTGACAGATGCTATCCGGATAGCAGCCAGGTCAGCTTTGCGGTCATTATTCAGCATGAACCTGTTTGCAAACACACGGACCTTAAAGAGAAAAATAAGACATGGCTCAGATCTTCATACTGTAAATAAGAGTTAATAGTGTCTGCAGATATATACCGGAACATGTTTCATTATTTTCTCCAGTTTCCCAACTCAAATTAAGAATATCATTCCTTAATTCATATGAAAAGTGAACAAGAACTTTATTAACACGGACAGAATGTAGTCCACATCACTGGTTCCCAACCTTTTTGGCTAACGTGCCCTTTAAGTTTCTATAGGAGATCCCTTGTTGGAGGTTTAAAGGGGGAACTACGGCAATTTCAAAATTCATACATGTTATTCTTGTGGTGTAATATGGTCCAAAAATACTGGTAAACATAAATGTCCCAAATCCAAAAAACTAGAGTGCTAAAACTCAAATTTGTGATGTCTTAGTATAAAGTCTGAAGCTGCTCCACTGACAATGAATTTGGAAAGATGTTAGAGAGAGCAACCCAGGAAATGTTCTGGGTATATGGGTACACTTTTTGTTTCAAAACTGAAAACACAATGAAAATGAAGGTGGTGCTCCCCTTTAATATGTCTATGAATTGTGTGCAGTTGAAAGATTTACATTCTTTCTTCTTTTTTGATGTCTGAAAGGACAAAACTATCAAATATTACTGTGAAAAAATAAGTTATTGGAGAAAAAAATAAAATAAAAAAGTGTTTTGTGGGGGTAAATATGTTTTAATTATCTACCATCCAGTTAATCATTTTGTAACCAACAGACTACATAAATGTCTTAGCAAATGCCTTTATCATAACAGCAGTGAGATCATATTAGATGAGTGAGTGGATACACATTTACTTACTGTAGGCTTGTCACAATTTTGAGTTACTTCTACTGCACTTGAGTTTTTCCATTTAATGCCAGTTCATACTACTGTTCCACCTCATTTATCTGACAGATGCTGTTATTAGTTATGCTGCAGATTATGATTTTGCTTGCAAAACATTTAATCATTATTCATAATATGATGCACCCTGGATACAAAAATGAAATTAGTTCCATCTTGACCAGTAACAACATTAAAATGCCGCTTAATGCATCAGTAATAATAATCCTACAGTCATACTTTTATATTTTAAAGTACATTTTGCTGTTCTTCCACGTGTTTGAATGCATGAGCTTTACTTGTATTTGATTTGTATTTTTTGAGTTTTTGTACAGGGAGGTGCTGCTACTTTTACTGATAAAATGATCTGAATACTTCCTCCATCACTAAATAATTTATCATGATGTTAAGAAACCTCAGAATATAACATAATCTACATGTTGTTTAATTTCTTGAAGGAAAAACTAAAGCTTCTCTTCAGGTTTTTCTGCTCCATATGCAAAGAAGACTGTGTGCAACATCAATCACCAATCCCTGCTTAATTACAATCCCACACTGACTCACCACCAGCGGGGCTGAACAAGCCAGAACCACCGCGGAGGTCATCACCAGCACCGCGATCATCTGCGTCTCTGCAGCCGAGGACAGAGCCCTCCACCTCTCCCGGACGCTGGCTCTGGTGACGGGCCGCTGCACGGTCCTCTGCCGCATCAGCAGCAGCGCGCCGCACACCGCCAGATTCAGCATGATGGTTCCCAGGATGAGCAGCAGGCTGATGGTGCCGTACAGGACGGAGTACGCGTTGGCCACGGGCTCGTGTGTCCTCCAGTCGATGAAGCACCAGGTGCCGGACGACTGCAGCTCGCTCCTGGCCATGCCCATCATCGGGAGGCAGCAGAAGAGGATGTGACTGATGTAAATGAAGAGAAGGAACTTCTGCGCAAAGCGTCGGTCCACCCCCCAGCGCTGGTAGGTGTACGGGCAGCATATAGCCAGGTACCGCTCCGCTGCCATTGCGCATATGATGCTCAGTCCTGTTAACCCGAAAAACAGCAACAAAAAGGCGTGAAACTCGCACACGTGATGGTCCTTCAGCACATTCTGGTCCAGGTAGTTGGCTATGGTGAGCGGACTAGCCAGGCAGGTGCCCAGCAGGTCCGTCACCGCCAGACCGCACACCAGCGTGTAGAAGGCTGAAGATTTCCTCTCCTGTCTCGATACTGAGAGGACGATTATTGCAATTAAATTCCCAATGGCGCCTCCAGCAAACATAAATATCGGTAAAGCCATCGCTGTCTCGACCCTGGGTACTTTCGACTGCTGAACCAGCGTCTCGTTTATGGAAGCAGCGTGCGTAAAGTTTGGGCTCTCCATCGCCAAATACACCCACAGGCTGCTGTTTGTTATTGATATTTCCTTTGGTCTGTTGGGGATTTGGGATAACGTGTCCCTTTTAACCCCCTGCAGCAGAAAATGAGGAGTCAGCAGGGGTATTTTCTCTGGTAGTACCATCCCATCTGCTTTCCAGTAATCAGTAATCCAGATGCGGTCGACCAAATGATGCGCACAACTGTGAAGTGAGAGGCGGGCTGTCTCTAAAACAGTAGAACACCCAGCAGCCTGACAGGATGGATGGATGGGCTCATGCCCTGAGAGATGAAGACCCATGTTTTTTTTTTCTTTCTCCACTCCATGTCTCATTTGCTGATGTTTGCGTCATCACAACCCTTCGTAATGGCTGTGGCAGCCCGTCAGGAGGGCAACTTGACTGACCTGTGAGTAAAGAGAGAGCGATGATGTATAGAGCCAGAAGATTTTTCTCAGCCAGTATAGACATGAGTCATATTTGGATGCAGAAACTGTTCAACAGTCTGAACTTGAAGCTTTGGCGGTGACTCTTGAAATGATGGGAAACAATCAAATCACAAATAATAAAGTGAAATAGACACAAAATTATGCTTATGATAAAACGTTTGGCGTTTTTAACTATTTTTTCTACTGTTATGTCAGTAACAGCTCATTCTCCAGTTCACCAAAATTAAAAATGGAGAAATAAAAACATTTATAATTCTAGCCACAAAGTTTTATTTGCTCGGGTATCATCTCAAAGTGCTGTAAGTGGTGCTGAATGATGCAAGTTGCATTACAGCTTTGAAAAATTACTTTCAAAACAACCTCCCTCCAGAAAGTTTCCCCCTTACTTTGGATCCACAAAAGTTGCTTTGAGCGGTTGTCATCAAAACAAATTTATACCTATGAAATGATACTGGTTACAGTGGGTTCTGTGCATTATTCAGAGTGAGGAGATGCTTTATTCACAGACGCTTTTCGTTTAATGATTTGTTTTCAATGCTGAAAATAAGCTGAGCAGAGAAACAAAGTTACATGGTTAAATACCAGTGAAAGAAAATATATTTTTGGGAACTCAGCCTTTAATCGACTTCTTCCAGCATGCTGTTAAGATGTTGCTGGTCTTGTTTTTCTGTCTTCTGTGTATCTCAAACAGGAAATTATAATCTGATTTGTATTCACTCATTTCTGTATTGTATTCATTCATTTCTGTTTGTAAAATAAACAAACTTATGTGCCACACTGGACAAGATATTGCTTTCTAGATCAGCTTAAGTTCTACGTTTTTTGTTAACCACCATTTATTTGCGTAAACATGTTACCAATTTATCCATGTACTGTTTAAACACATGGTAGACTTTGTGTTTGAAATGTTGCATTACATTGTCAATCAGCAGTGACATGCTGTTGGTTATCACTGAAACTGGTTTTGCAAATGGTCTACAAATGTGCAATATTTTCCTTTGAAATGTGAGTGAATAAAATGTTGAATAAAACATTTACATAAAATCAGTAAATAGGCTTCAGATCCAGTCCAGATTTTAAACCAAACCCACGTTTTTAAAGTCATGATTACAAATGCATTAGAATTTTTCTGTGTGTTTTTTCATCACATTTTTAAATTTTGAACACAGGGTGGAGTGAGTTCTTGTTTTTTGCCCAAACACACTTCAGTGTTGTGAATTGCTGCTTTCAAAGGCCTTAAAGTAGTCATGTACTCACAATATATTTACTAATCTTTACCTCCTTCTGTGTCGTTTGTGTTGTTGTTAGTCAAATTTTATTTACTGAAGATCATTTTGGGGCAATTTTTGACTTTATTACCAGGACAGCTAAGATAGACAGGAGAGCAGGGGTCCGCAGGTCAGTATCAAATCAGGACACAGCTTATATGGGGTGCACAATCTACCAGGGGAGCTAGAGGGCGCTCCATCTGTTAGTCACAAAGTTTGTGACCTATTAGTATTAGCAGTGATACACAAAACCCAATAATGCTGCAAACTTTCCAATAAATCACTGATTAGTTTCAAGCTCTTGACTGTATCCAAACAAAATCACAGACCTAACAAGGCTGTCAAAAGTAGACCTGAGACAAGCTAACTGCCCACTGTAACAAACACATCCATCAAACTGAGCTATGTGCTTATGAACTGACGAAGTAAATCAAATCAAGAACTGAAGTCTTGAACTCTCTGGAGGGTTTCCTTTTCTTGTGCTGCTTTTTCTGTCTCTGTTTGAAACCTCTGCCCTTGATTGTGGAGAACACGTCATCTGAGGCAGAGCAATTTACCAGAAAATTCAGTGGCAGATTTCCTATGTAGCATTTCCTAATTAATTCTGTGTGTGAGATGTGGGGAATAGGGAATGTGGCAACAATGTGGGCACTCCCACCCCTCATGCTGTAATGAATAGACATCAACACATGCAAATCTAAAACAAATGAGCTATAGTCATATCTGCGTCACTCCTCATAATGTTGGTCTCTTTCTAGGAACTTTTTTGTGCATTTTTTACCGATGACATTTGAGTTTCCGGATGTTGGTTTTTGGTCATGTCTTTAACAGTGGGAGCTAGAAACTATCTGACAAACAATATTTAGCTACAACAACTGGGAAATCTTTTTTTAGCCAACCAAAGGTTTGGTGTCAGTGGAAATGATCCAGAATATTTAATTAAGCACATAAATATACGGTTGGAAAAAAGTGTTCCAGCTTTGTCCCAAACAAGAGATGACTGTAAATGGTTGTGAGGAACAACAGAGGGCTGATGGACATTGAGAACACACACGGGACGTCAGTGCACTTAGCCTGCTCCGACTCTCCAGCCGTCGCACATTCATTACAGCGTGACTTATGTTTACAGTGAGGAGCAGCAGCGAGGGTCTCTGTCTGCAGCCGACCTTAAAAGACAAAACACAACACCTCTCTGAGAGGTAAACCACGGCTGCTCATCTCTGCTGCAGACAAAAGGGAGCTGGCAGACTCTAAAAACAACAAACCACTTAAGTGATGCCAAGGCTTGGAAACTCCAACGCCGACTGGAATGTCCTTCAGTTCACAGTGAATCATGGGACGCACCACTCGTCCCTGCACGGTTTATAGTTCTTGAATGTTGTAAAGGTAATTAATTCATTGCAAATGCACTTAAATGCATTATCTCTATCTGTGGTCTCCACAGTGGGCTGGAGCTATAAAAGTGTACGTAGATTTTAGTGTATGACTAACACAGGACATATCACTAGATACCCCTAAATGGTCATTATACGGGATTTATTTTTGTCTGTAAACTCACCTCTACACTCATCTTAACACATGAATCAGCACTTAAAGTCACATGCAAATGGAAAGGACCTTTTGCCCACTATTCTCAGAACAATAAATGCTAAAACATTGACATCATTCTTATTTGATCAGACTGCAACAATCTCATTATCATTAGTGGGTAATTCAGCAGCTCTAAAAACAGGTGACAGTGTAACCAAATATGCGCTGAGGATTGATGGACTGCGATCAATTGCTAAACACATTAATAATTATTGTCATTATCGCTCAGTCATTTGGTGTCTAAACTGTCAGATAGTGATGAATGCCCAGTCCTCAAGTACTCTACTTAAGTACAGTTTTGAATACACTACTCAAAAAATTAAGGGAACACTTACATCACACATCAGTTCTTGATGAACGAATTATTCAAGTTGAGGATCTTTACTGATGTACACTGTATAATTTGTTTAAAAGAAAATGATGTAAAAATGGTCAGTGGAAACCAACACCATCCACTGAGGAATGGATTCAAAATCGCACCAAAAATAAAAGTTAAAAAATGAAATCACAGGCTGATCCAATTTACGTGAATTTTTATCACGGCAACTCATAATGTGACTCAGTAGTGTGTGTGGCACCTGCGTGTCTGTATGCACTCCTGGATGGTGTCCTGGGGGATCTCCTCCCAGACCTGGATCAGGGCATCAGTGAGCTCCTGGACAGTCTGCGGCGGTACTTGGTGGCGTTGGATGTACTGATACATAACGTCCCATAGGTGCTCAATTGGATTTAGGGCAGGGGAACGAGAGGGCCAGTCAATGGCATCAATGCCTTCATCATCCAGGAACTGCCTACATACCCTGGCCACATGAGGCAAGGCATTGTCCTGCACCAGGAGGGACCCAGGGCCCACTGCACCAGGAGGGACCCAGGGCCCACTGCACCAGCATAAGGTCTGACAATCACTCTGAGGATTTCATCCCGCTACCTAAAAGCAACATAGCTGCAACATGGAGGTCTGTGTGACTCTCCAAGGATATGCCTCCCCAGACCATCACTGACCCACCACAAAACTGGCCATGCTAGCTAATGTGACAGGCAGCATAACGTTGCTCACATGTGCTCAGTGGGAACCTACTCTCATCTGTGAAGAGAACAGGGTGCCAGAGGCCGACCTGCCAACTCTGGTGTTCTCTGGCAAATGCCAATTGAGCTGCACGGTGCTGGGCTGTGAGCACAGGTCTTCTAAAATTCAACACATCTTTATTCTGACCTTGTCACACGTTTTGCTCATGGACTTTCCACATCCACATATGACGTGCAAGGTCCCCTGGTTGCGTTGGCTGTTGATGTTCTGGGATGCTGTGTCAAGTTCTGCCTGTTACATCTATTGTCTCCTTTCAAGATACACTTCTGTTTTCACAGGAAATTTAACGTTTGCATACAATCTTTTTCATAATAAACGCACTACGTCGGTACAAGACTGCCAATTATGTTTTTTTTTTCTTCAACAACAAACACACATGGTTGGATTTAGGAAAAAAGAACAGGGTTTGGCTTTATAATCTAACGGGACACAAACACCACTCTCCTGGGTTAAAGTCAGTGTTTGCTGGATCCATCCATCCACCACAACTCTGGCCTTCCCAACTCGGACTTTTGTCACCTTATCTTTTGTCCTTGTCCTGCCGTGTTTCTCCCTGATGCCATCGGGCGCAGTTAAACTATAATGGCAACTGCCTGCGAATCATGCCTAAGTTAAAGGACGGCTTTTATAGTTGGTTTCTGAATCCGCAAGTCACTGCCCAAGCGGCAGATATCAACAACTTTGGAGTGAGACTTGTGCTCTACATTGGCTTTTTACTTCTGCTGATTGCATTTATACTTCAAAAATCCTAAAAGTGGTGATCATTGAAGAAG